AATAGCTCCGATCGGTCGGCGAGAAAAGCCTGTTGGTAGGGTTCCTGAAGGTGGTTGTGAATACCTCATCCGCTATGTGGATTCGGAGGAAACGTCTCGCAATCTGCAAAGCCATAGTTAACGATTTGCTGAAAGGAAACGCCAAGTGAAACGAAAGAAGTAAACTTCAGAAAGCGGTCTAATGTTAATCTAAGAGAGCATCCAGTTCCAAAGAAATCGAAAAAAGTCAAAAATTTTTTTTGTCAATTCTCTTTTCAAATAGTGATTATAGTTTGTTTAAGCCGAAATATAGAAATTACCATTAGAGTATTTTATGCCTTTTTATAAAAATACTAAGATTTTACAGTTGCGTGGCAATAGTAATGGATTTAAGAAAATGAACTATTTCAGTAGCAATAGAAACTTAGGAGAATAAGTTGTTAAATCAGAATAAAACCATGCATAGAAACTTAAAAGGAATTAAGTTGTGTAAAACACAAAAGTCATTGACCAACGCCATGCCAAACAAAATGCTTAAAAATAAGAATTACATTGTAAAAAAATACGTCGAAACGTAGACAAACTCGAATTTATATCGACATATATAATAAAAATAACCAAATAATTTTTTTTTTAAATAACGAACAAAAGTTCTAAATTTACGTCGAAATATTGATCACCTCGAATTTATAGTGACACATACATAAAAATAAACACGCAATATTTTTTAACTTAACAAAAAATTCAAAGCTTAAGGGTGAAAGCAGCATTTTAGAAAGTTGAAGGATGGTAACTATATACAAATTAAATTATATATATTACGGAGGTAAACACGAAATATTAGAAAATGAAATGGTGAAATTTAACATTTTAGAAAGTTAAAAATTATGAGTGTTAAAATAACATTTTAAAAAAGTAGAGAGGTTGAAAATGATGTAAAAATGATATTTATAAAAGTTCAAAGTTAAGGGAATAAAAATAATATTTTATAAAATATAGGAATGGAAAGCATCAATTTATAAAATAAAGGGATGAAAAATATTAATAGATAGAAAGTAAAGGGTTTAACCAAAGTCCGTGGAAAGCTCCATCGACTTTGGTTTTTAGTATATATATAATGTTTGTCGGTAAAAAATACAAAAAAATAATAATAGTGCTCTTAAGGCTATGGCCTATGGGGTATGGTTAGAAGATGTTCAGTAGGTAATGTCATATATGCGATCACATCCTCTACTATATGTTCCCTAGCATTTTAATATTCCATATTATTTATCTTTTTATTTTTTTATTATTTTTGACATTTATATTAAATAAAAAACATAATTAATAAACATAAATAAATATTTCACATTACTTAAAAACACATTACATTATTTAAATTTTAAACCTAAATAACTAAAAAAAACATAAAAACATAAAATTTCAAACCTAAATTATTAAAAAAAAAACATAAGACCACAGAAATTTAAACCTAAATGACTTAAAAAACATAGAAAATTAAAAACCTTAAAACCTAATTTCAATATTTTTCATGAACTTGTTGTTGGATTTTTAGAAACACAACTAGATTTTCCGAGTCGATATCCGGTTACGACTTTGTGTTTAAAATTTGAAGATTGGTAAGTGCTAGTTTCCAGCGACGAGCTTCCTCCACTGCTTCATATTTTTTTGTAAAAAACTTGGAGTTTTGTCAATTTTTTCCGCAAGTACGGCTTCACTATTCGCTTTTCTGCTTGAAGACGCCGCCTTTTTCCCTTTGTCCCTTCCCGGTGGTCGACGAAGTTGGACTTCCGGTGGACCATCCCCCTCGGTGTCGTCGAAGTCTTCATTGAGGTTGACGCCAAAACCCACATCAGACTCGGAAGTTCTTGGCCTTTTGGTGGAGCCGGTGGTCGATTTCGAATGTGAAGTCTCCAGTTTAAAGACTTATTTTGGACTCTTACGACAAATTTCTCACGTTTTTTGGTGGCCGAATGCTTTACCGCCGTTGGGAACCATGTATTGTTGGCAAGCAGTTGATAAAATATTGAAATCGTTGTTACCACTTTTATGCATATTTTTAAGATTTTCAAATATGTCATTAAACTTGGTGCAAACCGCTCGTAGTTCATGCCATTTTCCATTGACCACGTCGTACGTTCGATCTGTTTTCCTTCCCAAAAGCGAGTGAAAGTGGTCTAAAATACGAAACCAAAAACTGTTTACCGTTTAAGCGTTGCCCGTCCTCGAGTCACACAATATGAAAATCCAAGCTTTAAATAAAGCTTCCTCCCTCATCTTCGTTCCAAGTCGTTCCTCTTTTTTGTAACTTTTCCTTTTGGTTGCCTTCTTCTTGATGGTTGTGTTTCTTGGATCTGTTCGTCGTCGTCATTGTCAAGGTTTATAAGTTGGGATTGAGATAATGAGACTTGAGATGGTTGTGTTTGGAATTGTTGAGGTTGAGAAGTTTGTGGTTGAAATTGTTGAAATTGCGAAACTTAGGGTTGAAATTGTTGAAAAGCTTGAAATTGGGGTTGATTGAATTGTTGTGGTCTTTGTTGTTGGAAATAGTTTGGTTGATATGAAATGTTGGTAAATAGAGGTTGTTCTTGGATTGAGGATGTTAACATTTACATGTAGTTAAGGTGTTGATATTGATCATTTGGAGTGTTTGAGGTTGTTGGGGGTGTTTGGAGTGGTTTAGGTATTTTTATTTGAATCTATTTTTTTTAATTGAATGTGTTGAGTGGGTTCAAAAGGATAGTGTTTTGCGTGTGTTTTGGGTTGGGAAAGATGAAGAAAAATAAAAGAGAAAAAGTGATGTGGCAGTGGGTTCAGTGGGACTGTTACATCAATTTTTGTCTCTCATTTTTCTTCATCTTTCCCAACCCACAACACACGAAAATCCTATATTTCTCAACCCATTCAATTACAAAACAACTAATATACAAGTTTTAAAATACATGGTACAAGAGAAAATGAGAGAGAAAAAATAGATAGAGATGATGAAGTGGGTTAGTGAAACCAATTAAACAACCCGGAGTGGTACCGACGGTAACTCTATTGTTAATTAAGATTTTACTTTGATTGTTTTGTATTTTTTTTAATTGAATGGGCTGAGTGAGTTGAAAAAGATAGAGTTTCCGTGTGTTTGGGCTGGGAAAAATAAAGAAAAATGAAAAAGAAAAACTAATGTGGTAGTGAGTTTGGGTTAGGAGGGAATGAATCCCTTCTCCCTAACATCTACATTAATCATATTTAAGTGCCATGTATTTGGGATATTCTACCGTATGTAAACCTTTTCTACATTCAAAAAGGGTCTCATGTGTACCTTCTGCCATTTTGATGTCAATAATTTTAATACTCTGTTTAATCCCTATAGTTAAAATGTTTTGGTTAACGCTTACGAGTTACAACTTATAAGTTATAACGCTTACGAGTTACAACTTATAAGTTTATAAAACACTAGCAAGTCCTACATTATTATTATTATTATTATTATTATTATTATTATTATTATTATTAAACGTGGGCGATAATGCCATCATTATGATTTGGTAATTAAATTCTAAACTAGTAAATAAAATTTGTAATTACTAAGCTTCTGTTAAAAACTCACATGTTGTGATGCATGCAGGTGGCACAAGAGAAACATATTTTCATGGTCTTTGTTTATTAGGTACCATGTATGTCAATGATGTTATGTTCATGGGAGTAGTACATATGTAACTTCTTAGATCTTAAAAGACTACTTAGAATCTTAGATGTTTTAGCGTTGCTTCATTGTTGAAACTCAATTTCGTTAAAATTAAAGCGTTGGATTTAGGTGTGGAAAAATCAAAAAATTCTTGAATGGAAAATTCCTAAATTGTGAACACGATGTTTTTTTTTTCCTTTCACCTATCTTGGAGTCTCGATAGACGCGAATATGAAGGATTATACACACTGTGGCTCCAACTTTTGCTTAAAATCCAAATTAAACAATTGGAAATCAAAAAATAACATTGTTGAAATCGGTACTTGGAAGCTTATACCGTTATATTTCTTCTCCATTTTTAAAGCACCCAAGGAAGTGATTGGTAACCTTGAAAGTATTATAAGGAACTTTTTTTATGAGGCAGAGACGTTACAAAAAAAAAAAAAAAAAGAAGAAGAAGAAGATAAATTAGGTTAATTGGCAACAAAATGATCTCCCCAAAAGATATAGGTGGTCACTCGCTTGTTTAAGAAACTTCAATTTAGCCCTACTTTCTTAATGGTGGTGGAGGATTAAAGATAACTGGGACAACTTTTGGCCGCTTTATTCGAGCGATACATAAATATAAGGGACATGATAAAAATTCGATAGCTAGGAAAAGTATTGCATGGCTTTGGTATCTAATTTCAAACAGTTTATGTAGAGATGTGGTCCAAACCTTTTCAAAAGAAAGTTTAGCATTAGAAATTCCACCCTTTTGGGAAGATTCGTGGCTCGTAAACACAACGCTCATAGAAAAATTCTCACGTCTTTATATTATTGAGTCTGAAAAGAACTGTTTGGTTTCGAACATATATGACAACGAAAACTCAGTAAATTCATGGTGATATAAACGACAAAACACATCAATAACAGGTGGAGGAATCTCATGAACGACAAGAATTAATGACTCTCTTACAAGGCTAGGAATAATTTTCCAATCTATCGGACTCATAGGTATGGTTGGGAGACCACACAAAAAAAATTATCTGTTACAATTGATGTTGTTGGGTTTCCCAGTTTCGTTTTGGTTTTAAACTCAAATTTTAATAGAATCCTTAACTAACTTCAAATCTTGTTATATAAACATGAAGTTGAAGTATCTTTTGATATTTGAATCGATGTGGGACTCAGAGTAAATATCAAATGAAGCATGAGGATAACACGTTTATATAATAGATGAAAATAACTGAGTTTACATGTGTTTGGCGATGTGAGATAGAATAGCTGGAAAAATAAAACAATATAATAGTTGGAAAAATAAAAAAAATGTAAACAAATGATTTGTAAGGAGCAAGAATTGATCTCAAGACCTTTGTTTCAATAAGCCAACACATAGATCAACTATTTGTTTGTGCTTATAAGTGAATGGATGCATATATATTATACACTACATAAAACAAAATTTTTCTAAAAAAATTGCACTATCAAATTTTTTTTTGAGGGGTATCTCGGGATACCCCTTGGGTCCACCCTGTTACAAATTAGCACTCGCTTTAAAATCTTACCCATGAACCGACAATTATACAATGGGATAACCGGTTTCAAATTAAAATTAATTATTTTACTTACAATAGTAGTCTGGAAGTGTGCGAGTGGTGCAGTTAT